TGCATCTTAGTAAAACAAATCTGTACAGTATGTTTTAAAAGAAGAAAAAGAAAAGATGTTAGATATGAAGTATGTGTTCAAAACCCACTTTGAATCAGAAGTGATTGGTTTCTTAACTATAAGCCTTTCAGAGCACCAGAGATTGCTAGGAAACTGGAACGAAGCCTAGCCTGTATGCCTTATTTTGATTTAAACACACACAAATACTTGTTCAGTGCTGTTATTATTTAGCAAACTCTTAACCAGAACATCATTTGATAGAGTGAAGTACTTGGAGCTCAAATTCTGATATATTTAAAGTTTGGATAAGCTCAGGTTCTAATATGACCAGAGGCCTTTTCTTCTAAGAATGATAAAAGAATGAGATGTCTGTAGTTTCAGGGTACTTTTTATAAGGGCTATAATGTGCCATAGTATCTTAATTCAGAAAATCTAGAAACTAAAGTGCTAACTGATAGCTATTCTAAGCTCATGGCAATTAAATATTTTGAGTTTTTTATTTTTTTTTGCTTTATTAAAATGTTTGCTATGTGAAGAATCATGGGCCAGATTTCACAAATTTTTATATGTTGAAATAAATTAATAAAACTTTGAAACTATGTCACTTAGCTAGTAGTATTATGGCAAAACCATAGCCATTCTGATAACATTTGGTTGATGGAATAGTTATTTGGGAAACCAGTGTGACAGGCTTCATTTTTAAATGAGATCTCACAAGGGGAAAATATTAATTAGCTTTTTTTAAAAAGTGTAATAAAAGTAAAGACTAAGACTTTTCTTCATCCAAGAAAAACTTCACTTAAAATGCGTATATCTTTATTTCTCACCTGAAACTATTTGCCATTTTCCTTTTTGATGTCACTGCTATATTTATTAACTCTACTATTGTTCTTCCATTTTCTAGCTTTAATAGTTTTAAGCTTTTCCCTCATTACTTCCTTGTCTTATATATATTTAGCACTTCTTTCCCTGTACCTAGGATTAACTATAATATTTTCATGAAATCATAGGATTTTAGAGCTTTGAAAATCAGAAATCACCATATTGTCTTCTCTTCTAAGGTTAAGTAAACTAAATCTCAGAAAGGCTTCAATTTGTCCACAGTAACAGCTGAGCAGAATTAGGATTAGACATCTAGTTCTCTGCCTCTCATTATGCCACAACACCTCAAACTTTGTGACTTTTCTATTATTAGAATCCGCTTTCACTTGGTTAATACCTGAATGACATTTAAAATTCCCTGAAATGTTTTTCAGTAGTTTGACCAACATTTCACTCACAAGAAATGATTCTATTATAGCTGACAATATTATCTACTGTTTTATATTTTTCAATTTGTATAGTTTACAAAAACTCGTTTGAGGCTGATCTGAGCTTCAAAATTTAGCCCTTAGCAGAGTAACTTTTCCTAAGAATTATTTTTCTAAGATTTTTCTGATGAAATTTAATTAAAAAATAAAACTGAAAATTTAAGTTAATCGTAATTAAATTTCATGGGAGATGAATATCTTGTGAATGAAAATATAATACTTTTATAATTTTATCTTGAGCAGATCATAGTAAAATGATCTTTTTCCTAGTGCTGTGTTTAGCATGGAAATTTCCACAGACACTGAAGAAGTATGAAGTGGAGTCTATTGGTTAGCATTTTATATTAAATATAGTATATAAACATGTTTATTAACAATGAAAAGTAAATAATAAGGAAACAAATCAATACCATATTAATTCTTTACTATTAAAAGTTAATATGATTTATATATTTTCTCATTTATAAACAATTCTTATCTGAAGCCATGGAGAAGAAATTAAACTATCCCTTTAGAAAATCTAGAAAGCAAACTGGAAAACCTGTTGTCAATCTGGAACTCTTGATCCAAGTACAGTATAGTTTTGTAACATAGTTATAATGTTCAGCTGGTAATCAAAGCATTTATTAAATTCCTTCAGAACTAATTGAAACATTTGCATAGTTTAGCAGCTTGAAATCTCATAGATTTAGAGCTTAATGCTAAACAAGAATTGAAAAGATTATGAAGGTTCAGCATGATCTTGAGCCAATACTGATCAAAGAAAATGTGTAAAACAAAAAGGCCCTTAGGAAATGTTACCCTGTGAAGTGCCACTTGTCCTTAACTGGAATTTAACACACTCTCTAAAGATGAAACTCCATCAGAAGCTGCACAATAATGGCAGCTGGGCATGCCAGCCACAGCAACCCAGTCTGTGTGTGTGTTCTTTCTACCTCTCACAAGTGCTCTCACATCTCTCAAATCAATCAGTTACTCTCCTCCCCCTTCTCTGTTTTGCTCTCCCCCCTCTTTGTTTTCTCCTCATCTCCCTCTTTCTCTTTACCCTCCATCTCCATCTCCTTCTTCCCTTTCCCCCTTCTTCCTCTTCTCCCCCTCCTTCCCTCTTTCCCCCTTTCTCTCTCCTTTTCTCTTCATCCTCCCTCCTTCTCTGAGAGAACTCTGTCCTTCATCTGATTCATGATGACTTTAAATTCATCTGCATCATTTTATACACAGCTGTATTTTATCATTCAGGTTTTCTAGAATACTAATTTTTTTAAAGAATCATTTTAACTTTTGCTTTGTTTACATTTTGGATCTTTTCCTTCCCTGCAGGATTGTGGTGTAAATTTTTAATTAAATATAACCATCAATAAAGTTAATGGAATTCTAACATCTCTATTAGTAAAATCATCACTCATTTAGTGCATTTGTTATCTTATCACTTGTGCTTCATCCATATACTGGTAAAATCTACCCGTGGTTACAGTACTGGTAAGCATGGAATTATTTTTGAAAAACCAATTTGTTTTCACTTAAATTGTTGTTTGGTGATTGTGGTTCAACACAAAATTCTTTTGGCTTAATCTCAGCATACTTTGGGAATTTAGCCTTTGCATTGGAACAATTAAACATTAGCCTAATATGCTTTACATGGTACCCTCTCAGCCAAGTTCTGTCTGCATTAACCAGTTTATTCTATGACAAGTTGCTTAACAGATGTCATTCTGGGGAGAACAATGAAGCCAAATACTTGTGCAGTGGCTAACATTACTCTAACTTTGATCACTTTTGTTCAGCACATCAGTCTGGCGTTGTGCTTTATACCAACATAACACTATAGCCAGAACATGCTTTTCAGGCTTAGAATAGCAAAGGAATGTTATTCAATTCAGTGCAGTTACAGATGAGTTAATGAAAGAAGAAAATACTGTTTATTTCATAATACCTTATTGTTGTATTTTGGAATTAAGGTGGAATTTAAAGAATCCTACTCCGAAGTTATTTGTTTAAATACTCATACTGTTTGTGTATGCTTTTAAATGCTGGGGTAGCCTTGCCACTTTTCCAACAAATATAAATATTTTTCTTGCTTTTATTCAAAAATAGCTGGTAAAATTTGGTGTATCTAGACAACGTTATCCAAAAACAATTTTAAAAAAAGAATTTTTTTGCCTCGAACCCTAAAGACTCCTCATACTCCTTCTTCTATCCATTCTCTCTCTTTTATTAATACAATGCTTTGGGTTTGTGGATGACTTTTCTCCTTAAGAGCACTAATGTTTAAGCATGACTAAATAGTCTCAGCTGGTGAAAGTGATCAGCTGTTAGCCCAGTTGCATTTGGTTAAATTGTTGGGTTAATAATCATCAATGAAAATTTCTAAACTTGATGTGACTGACTGTAAACAAAATATTGCATGGTAGATTGGCCATCGCTAAGAACCTCTAAAAAAAAGCTGTTTGTTTCAGTTGAGTAGGGATCAAGCCATACCCCAAGTTCCTCAGATCTCATTTACTAAGTCTTTTTTTCCACAGGTGTACATTAGAGATAAAAATAGATTGAGTTCTGTTTTGTTTTGTTTTTCCTTTCCCTAGTGAACATATATCTCTATTTCACTGGAAGGATAGCTTAGATGTGTTTATGTGTAAGAAAGAGTAATGTGATAACAAAATGCTGTAATTGGACAACATGATACTTTAGACTTCTGCATTTTTAAAATATGAATGAATGCTTGTTGAAGTATAAAGAACTATACTGAAGTCTTATTATAGAACATAGTGTGGGCAATGTTTCAACACTAGCTTCATTTGCTACAATAGGGTAATAATGCCATAACTAACCTGAAGAGACAATGGTCTCTCCACTATTATGATTTGTTAATTTATTTTATTTGTGAATAAAGAATAAAATGGAATTTCTATTAGCTATTTAGAAAAAAAGCTAAAGGAAAGACATGATACTTCTTAATTACTGGATAACATAGAGTTTAACCTTCCAACACCTTATTCTAGTAAGTTACCTTCTCTTCTTCTAAATTGAAAGGTATAATATTGCATGTTGGGAAAAATAGTTTTTAATCTTTAACAGCATTTGCTATATTTTCTTTTCAGGAAGGGCCTAAACAATATATTAATGGATGGCTCTAATGTTAATAAATATTCCATTGAAATGATTTTTAATTTGGGGTGATTTCAAAGAAATAACCTCTATTAATAAGTTTTTATATCTTTGAAACTTACATCAAAAAATAAAGACAACTTCAAGTTTTTCCTCCCGTGTCCCCTCAAAACCATTACCCTTCTCTCTCCCACATAGAAACTTGAAATATAGGTTTGAATCATTGCACATTTAAAAAATTAAATAAATTACAAAAATTTATAATTGCAGTCTGCCCTAAGTGAACTGTGTGCCTGAAGTTCGTTGACTGAAAAGAAACTTGAAGTCAACCAGGAGTTGAAAAACGATCAAGGGAAGAGGGATGTTTCTTCAACTATTATTTCATCTAGTCTTCATTGAAAATCTTTTAAATTTGATATTGTTCTTTCTTACAAAATTTTTCTGACTTGTATTTTCCTTGTTTTAAATTCTTGTTTTGAATCTAGAAGAAAACAGGAAATTCAGTATATGTCACATAAATCGACTGGAAACTATCATAAGTCATGTAGAAATCCTATTTTAATTGTGCTATCTCTTTCTTTTTAATAGGTAAAGAGAAATGTTTATGACCTTACAAGTATCCCTGTTCGCCATCAATTATGGGAAGGCTGGCCAACTTCTGCCACAGATGACTCAGTAAGTAACGGTCAAATTCTCAGTATATCCTCTTTCTTTTGCTACTTTAATTCTAATTGGCTTTGATCATAAGCAGAATCAAATGGTTTGAATCTTCCATTAAAATAACTTTAGAAATCAAATAATGTGAAAATAAGAGGAGTTGTAATAATTTGAGTTCACTTGCAGAACAGATATTACAAGCCAAACCCATCAACATTGTGTTGGTAATGTTATAGTATCAATGTCAAGAACTTGATGCTTCTTGATTTGACTTAAATTTTTCCTTGATAAGAAGAATATATTCAGATATTACTAATGTTCAAATCAAAAAATTTTTTTCCTAAGTTACAGTATTTCCAAATCAACCTAATCATTATATTTCATTCTAAAACTAAATTTCTCATAGTAGACTGGTGCTTTAAAAAACAATTTTTATGCTATGTTGCCCAGGCTGTAAAAGAGAAAAGAAAATAAAAATTAAAAAATAAATAAATAATGATTTTCCTGTTGTAAATTTTTAAACATTTTCTATCTCTGCCTTATTTCTAGTTATTGCTCTTTTCCGTGAGAGTAAATTTTATTATCTAAGGAGGCAACTGAAATTGTTTGGTCACTTTTTCCCACAAACTTGCTTGTTCTAACCAGATACTCATTTCTTTTTTTTTTTAAGTAGAAATAAAAGAATCTTTTGAGAATTCTGAAGTTAAATCTAACTTTTAAAATAAATAGAGCTAAAAAGAAATTGGGACTTTATAAACATTTTTTAATGATTATGGCTTAGAATTGAATTACCTTTCCATATTTTCTAGTAAATGTTATGTTTCTGCCTGGATAATAACTACTCCTCTTCCAGCACCAACACCATGTATTTTAATGTGAAGGAATTCTCTGTGGAAGACAGAAAAATTTTAAGACAATTTGTGTATGTAGATGCTACTTGAGTCTAATTACAGTGTTAAACTCTGTGCCTTTGGAACATGCTTTTGTGGATTATGAAACTTTAAAAATAACGAGAAAATAGCACAACTTTTTTTAATGAACCCTTCCAGCAAAAAAATTATTTAGGTATAGGCCCTTTTTTATTTCTGAACAACTGATTTTATCATTGAGATTATAGTATATCATTAGAATTATTGGCTGGTTGTCCATTGCTAAGGATAGTAGTTGTTGGGTTTTTTTGTTTTGTTGGTCTGTTTTGGGTTTGTTTGTTTGTTTCCATTGAGGTTAGAAATTTGATAGAATGTGCTACATTTATTTTTACAAAATTAAAAGAGTGATGTTCATAAATGATAGCGGGCTGTTTACCTGATGAGACATGAATAAACCAGAAATGTTCTTAGTATTGTCTAAGAACCTATTACAAGAAATAACAGAAGAAAATAAAATTAAGATCTAAGCATGTCACTTAAATTCCCTAAGCTTTAATTATCTCACTTATTTGGAGCATTGTTATAAAGATCCATGATAATATATATACAGTATCTGACTCATAGTAGATAGTAGATAATAAATAAGAGTCAATATTGTGATTAACATTAAGATAACTCAAAAAAAAGATCGCAGGTGTGAATTGGCTGGTTTAAATAAATGAAATGGTGCCTGAAATTTGCTTCAAAATAACCTGTGGGTGATGGGAGAGAGTGAGGATAGAGGTAATCCAGATTAGGCATCTATTGATCATTGTTGAATTTGGGTGGAGCATATATTGGGTTTATTATACTGTTCTCTTGATTTCTGTATAATTTGAAATTTTTCATAATAAAAAGTTTAAAGCAAAAATAATCTGGTTTAGGAGCACAGGCATAAGGTAATAGAGAATGTCTAGAAATACGAGGCTTCACAGCGTTGGAAGAGCCAACTGCTCATGGATCCCACACTTGTAAAAACCAGACTGAAATAGGCTTATCAGGTGCCAGTCCTAAGAATAATATGCAAATTCAATGAAACACAATCCATTCTTCTGTCTGTAACATAGTGCCTTATACATTTTCGGTGCTAATTCATTGAATTGACACTGGCTTGCTTTTCTTTTTCTCTGTTCTTCTTTTAAGAGACAAAGTCTGGCTCAGTCACCCATGCTGGAGTGCTGTGGCATGATCATAGCTCATTGTAATCTTGGGCTCAAACTATCCTCCCACCTTAGCCTGCCCAGTAGCTGGGGCTACAGATGTGCCACCACCATACCCAGCTAATTTATAAATTTTTTTTTTAGAGATGAGGTCTCACTATGTTGCCCAGGATTGTCACAAACTGACAGTCTTTTGAGACCCATGTTTAATGATTTTTATAACATTCAATTTCTTACCAAGGAGTTGTAATGCAGTTTCACTACTATAGGAAAATATGGAAAGCAGCTAAAACTGACTGTATCCAAGACTGTAATGCTACTTGGTGCTGTATCTAACACAGCAAGCACAACAGGGAATCCCCACCAAGAGGCTTGATTCTTTTTGCCTCATTATTCATATTTTCACCTTGTCTCGGAATCTGTGAAGCCTGCCCACACCTCCCCAGAGCAAATGTTGTCACATTGGCAGGATGTTGCCTTAAGCTGCGTGATTTGATAAAACAAAGATGTTTAGGGCCAGGCTGCTTTTAACTGGTGCTACCGCAGATCCACCAGCTCCAGCACTCGAGTTTAGATAAAAATGGCTTGTAACGGTAGTCTTCTAAGGAGATCCTAGCCAAATAAGCATCATAAAACCTTTTTTTCATTAGGACTATAAAAACTCGTAAAGCTGGTGCTTGTAATCTATATTGTTGCAGGCAGTGGTGTTTTTATACTTGCTGAAATCACTCAAGTGGAGGCATCTGCTACAAAACAAGATAGTCCTCACAGCTTAGGGCATGAATTGGGTACAGCTGAGAAATGTCAGCTGTGTAAACAGCCTGAAATGTGTTACCAACAAAAATATAATTAATTTCTTTCCAAGACAGTGTGCCATAACTTATTACTTACAATGGTTTAACTTTCAGAGAAAGCACCTGAACATTTGCTTCCCGATGCCAGAGTAGAGGATTGGTTATAAAGGTCATTAAAAGTGAGGTTAGTTTGTGCTTTTCCTGCTCAGTTGCAGAAATTTGTATGGCTTTTAATATACAGTAGCTTTAGATATCAATGGCTTCCATGAATTTATGGAAGTACCATAGATTAAGAACTTATTGGATTTGGAGTGATGAAAATATTCTAAATATTAGATTGTGGTAAAGGTTGCACATCTCTAAGTTTACTAAAAATTATTTAATTGAACATTTACAATGATTACATTTTATGGCATGTAAATTATGCCTCAGTGAAGCTATTCTTTTAAAAAAAGAAGTGGATGGGGAAGAACTAGATTAAAATACTTCTTCATTTGTGTGGTTTTTGTACTGCATGAGAAATACTTTGCAATAACACAGGAGATGTTTTCTTCAGTATAATTTTCATTAACCTTTGGTCTACTAAACAGGATGAAGAAATAGGCTTCTTATAATCAGATTCTTGTACAATCTTGATTCTCTTACTAACCTGGTAGACGTTAGTCTTTTGACACTTTCAAACTACTCAGTGAAGTCAACAATCAAGAACATTACTGCCCTTCTCCCTTCAGAGTTAAAATATTTTCTTCCTTGTGGTTGTACTCTAATGGAGTATGGGATACTGTATGAATTGTCAATAACTCTTTCAGTTCCTTTTGCACTCTTTCATCAGGGAAATAGGTATCTAAAGCTTTACCAGTAGGGGAAAGTTTTCATGCTGTGACAGTTCAGCTGTGAGAACAAGGAGTTGCAAGCAGGCAAAATCTCATTTTACACTTTAACAAGGACACTCTTGGTTTCCAGAGAGTAGAAATAATTTTAACACTGTGAATTATGTTTAGACACCTTATTATAATGTAGACGATTTGAGTATATGTAGTTTTTTAAATTCTAGGATTTGATAATGCTTATACAAGAGAGGAAAGGTCCTTCAATTTTAATACTTTCTTGTTGTGCGTCTTTATTTTTCTTTTGAGATTACTAATGGGCTTCCCATTGGCTAAGAAATACTCAGAATTTGAAAAATTAGGAATTTTAGAATCAGAGGTCTTTGGTATGTGTTAGGAGACAGAAAGCTACTTATTAAATATTTTTACGTTGAGAATGTAAGGTCACTTATAAGCAAAACCATTACACAGGGAGAAGGGAGAAAGAAAGAGAAAACAAGTTAACAGACCAATCCAAGTTCACTGAATCCCAGCGTTGCTATTATTTGCATACATTACTTACTATATGATTTTCAGTTTCTTTATCTGCAAATTAATTGGAGATGATGCTAACACCCTTGAAAATTTATTGTGAAGATTAAATGGGTTAACATATTAGGTTGAACTATATGAAATTGCCATTTTTTAAGGACAAAAATGATTGCATATTACCAATTTCATATGGTTTTAGCTGATGTAAAAGCACATAATATAATTCAGGGGTTGGCAATTATGACTGTAGACCCAAATCCCACCTACCATCTGCTTTTGTCAATAGTGTTTTGTTGGGACACATTCACACCCATTTGTTTATGTATTGTACCTGGCTACCTTCACACTATAATGGCAGGGATGTCTAGTTGCAACAAGACCATATGGCCCTTTTCAGAAAAATTTGCCAATCCCTGGTGTGATGTCTGGCATTTAGTAGGCATTCAACAAACGTTAACTCCCTTTCCCTTGAGTGAGCACCTTCTTTATATTGCGTACACATGCAGAATCAGAACCATTCTTTGAGTAGCTTCAGGGTCATCTAATGCTATTTAAATTACTTTGTTAGCCTATCCTAGGGCAGATAGATTCAAGCAATCTTTGGACATTTTCACTGGCTTTTTCTTTATTTGGCAAGGTCATGGATAATGTTGCTTCTGATAGTGGTGAGACTCAGTAGCTTCAGAGGGTTCATTGCCCTTGTCAACATATAGAGTCTTTTACAAATAACACAGGCAAAGACTAAACAGACGGAAAGAACAGCTTTGAAAGCAATGGAAGAAAGTTTGGATTTAAAAG